TGTATGTACGTATGCGTGAATGTATAGGTGGTAGCGTGAAGAAACTTTGGTTGGGTACGTAGTTTAGACGCTGATACTGTTTCTTAATGCACTATCTTTTTCCTTTTTAAGGATAATTCCACACTGCACTTTTTAAGAAACTACAATTAATGCTTCAATCCATAAGTATACGCCTCAATAATGTCTTCTCAACTCAATCTTATATTTCTATCATTAAAAAGAAAAAAGGTTGACTTTACCAACAAAACCATTCATGAGACTATAGTTTAAAGGACAGTAAAATTAAACCTTTTTATTTCTGAGAAATAGAATGGAAGTAAGAAAAAACTGAATTAAAAAATTATAATGAATCAACCATTATCATTTTTTTAATATCTTAATAATCGGCTCATTTAGTGTAATATTAAAGACCTAAAAATTGAAAAACTAATTTAGTTTGATACACATTTTAGTATATTTAAATTTAATCTAGTGACGAAGTTTATGAAACATTTACATCACTATTTATAAGTCTTATAAAATTAACATTATTTATAATTTTTATAAAATTAATTTGAGTTATACTTAAATTTTATTTTTAATTCTTATATTAGATGAAATATACGATGTTCTCAATATAAATGCACAATATTTATAGGGAAGGAAGTATAGGGTCTCTGGTTTTAGTTAGACTACACAATCATTACCAATGTTCGTTTCAATCATTCCACCACCAACTTCTATTTAGAGTCTTAGGTAAGAATACAAATAAAAAGCCTCTTCTTAATTTATGTCTTAATCAAGTTTATCCATATTAATAATTTGTGTTAAAACTTTTAATATTTCTAATCATTTGTATCAACTTTTACCTTCAGAAAATCTAATAATTCAAAATGTTGCTCGCAAAAACAATTATTTTAAAAAATACTTATGTAGTCATTTTTTTTTACATAAATGGTTCCTTATTACATTTGCCATAAACTTATGTAAAAAAATATTAAAAATATATATTTTCAAAATTTGTAATGTTATTTTTTAAATTATATCTCTCCCTTTCTTAAATCTATACACAAAGGAAGGAAGAAAAGGTAGAAGTACACATTTTAGTTTGAAAGTGATGTTTTGTTTCCAAAAATATTAATGATTATGGAATATTTCTGGTCACATGCTTTTATCTATTGGGTTGGCAATGTTACATATAAGTTCTTATCACTTGTTATGTATGCTTACACGACACAAGGTGTTGAACTGATAATGAGATCAACTTAGACATATGAACTTTTCTCTTCAGATTGTGATATAGTATCAAACCCTAATAAAGAAAACAATTCTTGAACCGTTTTTCCCCTTATTGTTTGGGTAACATTTCATAATTTAGGGTTTTATTTGTGATCAATTTTGTAGCAAATAAGGTCTTGTAGACGCATGCATTTAACCTAGTAGTATAATTCACCTTATTAATCATCACTTCCTCCTATTTTAGGGTAATTCTTCTTGAAACATTTAATTTATATAACTTTTTTTTTGTTAAAAATCTAAATATGAATTGAAAATCTTACTGTATAAATAAGAATAAAAAAATTGAGTAACATATAAAAAAAATCAATAAACATAGAGTTTTAAGATTTTAGATTGAAAGTGATGTTAGGTATCTTATAATGACAACTCGTTTAAAAAAATTTAACAACTTTGAGGTTTTCATATCACTAATTGGATAATACATACAATATATAATGTGAATATATAACGGTAAGTGTGTACAAATCTCACTGTATGTGAGGTTTGAGTTAAACTTAAATTCACTTCTTAATATGATATTAGTTATAGAGTTTATTATAACGAAATTTGTTGTTCATTGAATCTATTGTATCATTCAGTGTTGTTCAACTATCCAACTACCTATTAATGTATAATTTCATGCTTGATATGCAAATACTTTAGTGTGAGGGAATACATTGAAAATCTCACGACGACTGAAAGTAATGTAACTTACAATATGTGAGTGTGTGTAAACTTTATTTTACAAATAGATTTTTGAAATTAAATTATACCTAAAAATCTTAATATATTTTAGTAAAATAAGATTTTATGTTAGAAGTTATTTACCTGATTAACTCTTCTTCTTAGTTTATCATAAAAAAATTTCAACAACTTTAAAATTTTCATATCACTGATCGGACAATACATACACTTTACTAAAATGAGGATAGCGAAATCATGTTGCACTCAGATTCTTCACAAATGTTATACGCACAGATTCGTAATAATTTACTGCGAATATTTTGGCTTTGTTAGTGATTGAACAGGTGCATCTCTCAGAATCCAACAAAAAAAGAAGGTGCATAACATTCATATAAAATATTTTAATGTTAATCACTCAATAACTTTGGCCTTATTTTATACACTTTTTTGACAAACAATGTTTAGAGAACCCACCATCCAAAAGTCACACAAATATGATGCACCATGATGACAATAATGATTGCTCTGTGTATTCACCTTCAAGCTATTCTGCTATGTAATGTGCCTCATCTTTATTTCACAAATTATTTTAAACATCTTCATAATTAAAGTAGACCTATTCCTTAATGTGGTATTGGACTCCTTTCTTATCAACAAAGAGCAAATTAAAATAAGTATTTATAGTATTACTCTGTATCCTTCCCTTGGTAGTTAATGTAGTAGATAAAATCACAAATAGTATTTCTTGACACGTAGTTTTTGCTGTCATTTATTTGTCGTGTGCTGCACAAGTCTTTCATGATAGAAATTTGGTCATACGATTATCAATAATAATGAATAATAAATAAATAAACAAAAAACTAAACGTTCATTTTGTCAGTAATAATGAATAATAAAAAAACTGAACGTTTGTATTTTTGAAAGATTAAATCAATTAAACTCTTATGGAATAAATATTCAGCTACTTGTGAATCTTCGGACACTCTTATTCAATGTTTGTTCAATTACTCTTTTACAAACAAATACAATATAAGCATATGGTTTGACAATAATGATATCTCTCAACATTAGGAGATGCAAGTATCGATATATAGAATAATTTTTGAATTGTTTGATAATAATATAAAGTTTAAGAAATTTTAGTTGTTGATGTTCAAATCAAACGTTTCTTTTTGCATTAAATTATTATTTTACAATAGTTAATCGGTGTTTAATTTTCACATTATGGGAATATAACAAGCTGTGGTATAAAAGAAAAAAAAACATGACATGACTGATTTGGTTAACTATCATAATCCTCTCAATGGGGTTAAGTGTTGTTGAATTTAATTTCACAGTTGGTTAGGATCATGATTTGCTTCCCACATTGAGTCCATTAAAATGACCCCATACCCTTGAGCCACTTCACAACAAAACTAAACATCATTTCTTTTAGTTGTGGATAATATTCAACAACCATGCTCTGCATTTGGACTCCCGTTTAAGCTTCAGAAAATGACTCAACACTAAATTTTTCTGTCATTTTTTTCTGTCATGCATCACCCTTAAGTCATAATAGCATTCTTAACCTCGAAATTATTAGCCAGTGAATAAGAACTGCTTAATTTTGTAGTTAATTTCACTTTACCACCCAAAACATGGATCAATGGGTGTAATATTGTTCCTGTTTAAGCAATGATTTTGGAGTTTAAGTTTTATACATTCTGCAGTACATATTTGGAGACTAAACTTTACTGTCTATAATGTGGAAATACCTGCACTCTATAAAAAGGAAAATAAAGGCTTACTTTGCTAATAAAGACCACTCCTTATTTATACTTTAATTAAAAGGTTAAATATATTTTTAGGTACGAAACTCATACACAAAATTCGTATCAGTTTCAAACTTTGATACATTTTAGTTTCTAAATTTTAAAAATTAATAGATATAGTCCTTTTAATTTATATTAATTATTTTTTACATGTCAAACATGTTTTTTAGGATGATAGTTGAATTATTTACACCGTTTAATACATTCCAACTCAAATGCTATCTTGAAACACCTTTTAACAAGCCTAAAAAAATTAACATCATTAACTTAAAAAGATTATATCTATCCACTTTTAAAATTTGGAAATAAAAATGTATTAAAGTTTGATTGAAAGACAAATTCTAATTTAAGTTCAAGAACTAAAATCATACTTAATCCATAGTTAAAAAGACATAACTTTGTGCCTGCTCATGCATGGCCAAATCCACTCAAGGTAGAAACTAGGCCCTATTAGCTTGATAAAAGGCCATGAAAATAAAACGATGCAATTAAGAAGAAGAAAGACCAAGAAACTATGTTCAAGTCCAGATGTGAAATGAAATTATTCCGGCAACAGAATCAACATCAGTACTGAAATCATGTTGCTAATCAGCAATTTTATTGATTAAACAATTTCTTAAGTTTCAGAACAAAACTTACTATATAGAAAATAAAGAAATCCAGAACGGACTTATTATATTGACAGAAAACAAAAATGAATCGAGTGACCAAAATTCTAGGCCATTAAGTTATATACTATAAACAATATGATGTCCAGAGCTTTTGGCCAGACAAACGCTGAGATGAGCCATCTTGGTTATTCATCTCTCATAACTCTATTTAACGAACTGATGCACAAATAGACTGTTGGTTGTACAATTCTGTGACTCCATTTGTGATCTTCTGCCTGTTTTTCCTCCTCTTTGAGACAACTATGAACCCTTCATCACTGTTCTTTTTTTCACTAACACCTAATGTCTCTTGCTCATCACTATCACTGGAATGAGGCACTGCCTTACTCTTTTCTTCATTTCCATACGTAATGTTTATGACAGCACTGTCTTTAGCTATTTCATCATCACAATTTTCCAACTTCCCAACTTTTCCTTCACTTTCGTTAGACTCATCCACAGAGTCAATATTTTCCTTGACAGATTTCACTAAAAAACTGAGCAATATCTGCCTTGCTATCTCGGACTTCTCAGATTCAGAAATACTGTTTTTTGTGGAACTTGCCTTGATTTCAGAGAAATTTTCATCTAGCTTATGTTTTTCTGCCATGCTTACCTCAGATAAAGAGTTATGCTCATCGGAAACATTTGAATTGGAATCATTGGCTTCTATCTGAGAAGCATTTCTTGGAACAAACTCAGGCGCATGAGGATTCATAATTCTTGGAGATCCAAATCCGCTTCTTTCTCCTATAGGTGTTTGGCTTTTACTAAAACCATGTTTCATGCGGAAAGTATAGTTGGTTCTGTAATATAGAGGTGATCTAGGTCCACAAGGGACCCTAGCAACAGCAGGGGGAAACACAGGCTCCACATTCATGCCTTGACTAACATCTGTATCATACATGCTAGTGAAGGAACCTGAATTTAAATGGTGAGACATGGACAACATTCCTGGATTGAAAGGTTTGGCTGCAGCTGAAAGCTTACTGCCATTTGTTTCTGTGGGTTTTTCCTGATCAGAAGAAGCAAGGGAAACCTTCTCAACTTCCAATGCAGAATTTTCTTGTTGAGGTTCGATTTCTTGAGTTAACTCTGTTTCATCATGCTGAGAAACTGCATTAACTATGGAACTTCGGAACGTACCTTCGTTGGTTGATGTCACAGGTAGACTGTTGGATATCTCATCTTCAGCATTAATCTTGTCCATCTCAGTCTTTTCCAACAGTGGCTTTAAAACTGTACCTGGTGGAGCCAGAGCTACTTCTTTGTAAGATATAGACTTTGAAGCCAAGGAACTTAGAGATGCTGGAGATGAAATTTTTGACACAGAAGTTTTTGTTGGATAATTAACAGAATCCTCGTTCAAAGCAATGTTTCGAGCTTTTGGTTGTCTAGACGGAGATGACATGTCGGACATTGCTCTAGGAACTCCTCTTTGTGGTGGTGAAGTAATCTCATTCCTAGAACTGCTTTCCCTGTAAATGTAATTATTAGAACCATTGATGCTGAGCTTTGATAGAAGAGGCCGCTTTTTGTGGCCAAACTTGCGGTTAGTAGCATTTCCTGATCGCCCTTTTGAATTTGCTTCTTGCCAACCCTCATCGGATGAGGCCTCATAAACAACTTCACTTGTCACTGGCCTGTAACTAGTGAAATCACTATTTTCTTTTGGTATTTGAGAATCACGTGTGTCATTGGTTTCTTCTATATTCTCTTCTACCATGCTTGGAGCATCTCTTGAGTCATAAAAAACAATGCTCTCCTCAGCTACTGCATCTTCATGTTCTTGACTGTTATCACTTGTTGGGAGCAGCTGAGAAATAAAAGCGATATGTGAAATATAAAATAAGGTAAATGTTCTAAAATGTTGTCAAAAGTACTTCTAATTTGAAATTAGACTACTATAGCACTTCACCTAAAAATATAAGCTAACTCCAAAAAAATTTAATATGTTGCATACAATAAAAAATAAAATTAAAAAAAGAAAAAAAATACAAAAAAATTAGAAAAAAAAAATACCATAAAGAAAAAAAAAAAAAAAAAGAAAAAAGAAAAAAGAAAAAGAAAATAAAGAAATTTGATCAAGAGAAAAATCATAAATTACCGTAGCATATCAAGAGAAGCATTGGTTACAGACAAGTCATCACCGGGAAATAATATTTAGTTGTAGATAAACATCAACTAGAAATTTTGTTACCCACCTTTGCACGCCTCTGTTTTCTCTGTGCATCGTTTCTTTTCGGATCAGGACTGATAAAATCCAGGAGATCTGACACGCTGCAAGAAAAGGCATAAATATATATGTATGTACCTTGAAATATAACCTGTTTAAAACACAGTAAATGGGGATACCATGTTAGTACCTAAGGTGACCTTTACTTGCAATGGATGCATCAGGCTTTGGAGTTCCATTTTTAGCTGCTTCTTGCTGCTCTATGGCTTTTGATTCAAAATACTCAAGCCAAGCCGCAGCATCCTGCATTGGGGATTTGTTTAAAGAAAATTTTTAAGATTAGCAAAAACCAATTATCAACCCCAATAATTTGTTAATCCTTAGTTCAATCCTAGATAGATACTCTTTGGCTTATACTAGTAATACCATCAGAAAAAGGAAATGACCTGTGTACGAAGGTCTTCTGATCCAAGCTTTGCTTGAAGTATCTTTAGTGTAGTTTGCTCATGTTGCACACTCAGAGAGAATGCATCCATCAATGAAAGAGCTATAGCTATGGCGTGGTAGCTAGCTGCAGTCTATAACATGAAAAATACTGTATAAAACACTTCCATCTATAGGGGAAGGGAGAAAAAGGAGGGATGGAAAGAGAGAGAGAGAGAAACCTGTATATGATCTGCTCCTAACAATCTTTTGTTGCATTTAAGAGCTTCATGCAAGTATCTGAGTGCCACATGAACATTTCCCATGCCCTCTTCCATCATAGCCACATTTATATATGTTGCAGCTGTGTTTGGATGAGACAGCCCACATGTAAAGTGAAGAAGGAATAGAGCGCGATTAACATACCTGTGAAAAGGGACATGATTTCAGAATATCAAGCAGAAAGTCATAAACATCCAAGGAACTCAATAGAGTTTAACTTACTTCAGAGCCAGCTCAATGTGTTGCAAACGATAATAGAAAACAGAAAGATCCCCGTAGCTTTTCATAGTGTCAGGGTGGTCAAGACCAAGCTCCCTCTCATTTATATCCAAGGCCTTTTGCTGATAAATGGTGGCCTAAATAAAGAATAATAGAAGTTGATATTTTTTCCAAATCTTTTACCAATCACTACATAAAGAGTTAAAGATACTACACAGGTCCACTGCCATGCAGTACTCTCTCAAGACCCTCAGTAAAATCTGTTGATTCGTTATTATATTTAGGTTCAGAAAGTCTTAAACATGCTTTCCCCTTTTCTCTTTCTTTCATCTCTTTCCCCTATAGTAGCTCAGGACAAAAGAAACAATATTTTCTCCGACTATCTTAGCTTAAACTATGTATCAAGAAAATTTTCAGATTTCTACAATAGCTTAGGCAAAAATGAATTATTGTTACCTGGTTAAAATCTCCTGTGTGGTAGAGAACCACAGCTAGGAGACTATATGCACTAGCAGTATTTCGATGATAGGGTCCACAAACAACCATCATTTTAGCCAATGCCTGCAATATGATAGTATTGTCAAAACACTGCCATATTAATAACTAGTAAACTTGAAAAGGACACATCATGCAGACACCGAAAAAAGTTATATGTACCTTTGTTCCATAAATTACAGCATCCTCAAGCTTTCCTTTATCAAGAGCAATTTTTGAAGCCTCCAGCAAATTGCGTCCATCTATTGAGGAACACCCTACATGCTGTAAAAAAATGATCTTCTGTGTAAATGGTTCAATAAATTATACATTTACACATAAAATAGATCTAGGGACTATTACATAAGCATGACCTCACCTTGCAAACAGGAACCAAGCTGATAATATCATTTTTCCCAAAGGGCTTAATAGACTCCATGTCATAATCTCTAGGGAATAATTCCAATCCAACCTGAAAACAAAAACAAGGGCAATTAATAAAAGCTTCTTGTATGACAAATAGAATAAGAAGACAAAATGCTGATACCTTGTGACATAGCCCTCTGAGAATCGACAACTTCCTCAAATGTTGAAATTCATCATTCAGTATCCACCCAAATCTTTGGGACAAAAACATTCGTAGCCACTGAATTCTGAGACTATGATCATCATTCAAACTTTGATCATTATCTTCTGTTCGACTCCCACCAAGTAAGAAATTTAGTGTTGATGCAATGGCTGCAGATAGATCAGCTACATTTTCAACAGAGGCAATAACTGCTTTAAGTTGATGCTTGAAAGCTCGAGTAATCATCTCATGAATACAAAGGGATTGTATGTGAGGAAGATTCTCAGCAAGTTTAACCTGATTAACACATGAAATTAGAACCAAAAAAAGCAAACCATATTACCAAAACTACTTAAAGTAGAAAGGTATCTAGAGTACAATAGCAGCTTTCAAGCAGTAGAATAGTGGTAATATTTGAAAACTGTTCAAAAAGAGGCTCTAGAAATTGAAAAAACATTAAAACATACTACATCCAGAAAATTAATCCTCAGCTAGCCAATATTTACAGGAAGCATAGAAATAGAGAAAAGTATTCTCACCACTTGACCCAAAGATCGCATCTTTAAGCCTCTTAAATGCATAAAGTCAGTCAGTGTTCGCCCATCCACAGGAGAAAGTTCAAGTGATCCAAAGTCCATAGCCTAAAAAATTGATTCATTATGTTCTTAATTATGTCTACAACCTCTATGTTATTCAAACGAATGTAAAGTCCTTTGAGAATTGTAATGTTACCAGCTTTGGCAAGGCAACTTCATCATAAAACTTGTGTGCCATGTTGATAAGCTCATCCACTGACTGTTGCAAGAAGAAATAAATTGAAATGATTAATACAGTTACAAGTACAAGAAAGATAATGAAAGATTCATTATCAGAAACATAGCAGCATAAATAGTACCAAAAACAAACTAAATATAAACTAAGTAATAAAATTAGAAAATGACGTAGTCAGAAAAGATGTAACAAAAGTACAAGAAAATTTTCAAAAAAGAAATGTTGATCGCATTCCAGAGGTGATATTGGTGTCTAACATTTAATGAACTTAATTTCTTCAAAAAATATACCATTAAATACTCTTAAAAGACCTTTACTAAGCATTCAATTTTAAAGAACCATTTATCACAACAGATTATTCAAAATTCTCCCCTTAAATACGTTGTTCTTGAACTTATAAAACTTTTCTCCAGACAAAACCTTCACGAAAATATCAACAAGTTGATCATTAAAGTTGCAAATAAAAAAAGCAACAACATGAGAATACACCAAAATGAAGCATACAATCTTCAAAATACGCCACAAACCTTCGTATGAAGATCAGTTCCAGATTCTTTGAGACGCAAAAATGCTTCGTTAGAAAGTAGTTTCTCTAATTCACTAGAGTTACTAATGTCACCACTGTTCGGCTCAACTTTATCAGCATTGTCATTCACATCTCCAGGGCTAGAGTCATTTTGCTCTCGAGAATCTGTACCGTCTACATTATTTGATTTCTTCTCTCTCTTCTTCAAAAATTTAAATTGCTTTCCAAGACCTTTAACAGCTTGCTCAACGTCATTCCCATCTTCTTTGTTTTTGGAACAGTTATCAGATGAAGTTTCCTGTTTTTGCAAATGCTGCATCCAACAGGAACCAAGTTCCCACCGAATAGACCTTTTTGAAATACTTGGCTCCTCCTTTATTTTCTCTATGCCTTCTTGAATAACCTTTCGAACAAGGCTTTTAGTAGCATCTTCGTCATCCAAAATTGATTGGGATGATACATTCCCTTCTAATGAATCAGATCCAGACTTGTGAAGCAGCATCCTCAAACTGCACAGATCACAAAAATGTGTCACTTTGTCAGACATCATCATAAATTTTCTATTAAGATCAATCTCTATGGATGACAATGCTTGCATTGAAATGGATCTAATTAACCAATAGCGAAAGATAACATAAACGTTGCCTGACATAATATGCAACCTAAAAGTGCTACCATTTCCAGATTATCCATCCACAGTTAACATTTGCAGAAAAGTTTACTGTTCAAAACCTGTTGATGTTGAGAGCATTTGCCCCACCATCTAGCTGATCGTCTATCTCAATGTCTCGAACTTTAGGCTTCCTCATGTTCACATTACCCACAACCTTTACTGTTGCAGTATATCCACAGTGGTGTACAACGACGACAGTCAAGGAAGAAGTATCCTGTACCCAACAAAGAGAAAAAAAATGAACAATCACAATTCATCTATACCCTTGAGGAACAGGTTATTGACTTACATGAACAACTACACTTTCATCAGCTGTCAATCCTTTGATTAAATTCTTCTGAACATCATCCTTTTGCATGATAGATTCAACTTGCATAGAATCATGCTTTTTATTTCCATCCTGGATGTCACGTTTGACTACAATGGATAAGTCTCCCACACGATCTTCATGCAGAACAGCACCTAGAGAAGAATTCAATTGACTCTTCATGTTTGAGTTGGACTCTATGACGTGCTGTATAGCCGCAACAGCCTTAAATATTGAGGTATCAACAAATTGATTATGAAGCAGAAATGCTTTTCTATCCCTGACTACTCTCTCCTCCTCAGTTTTGCAAGGAAGAGAGGCCAATATTGCAAAATCCGTTGCCCACGGTCTAAGATCGAATTCGCCATTTCTTCCTTGGCCGCCACCATTACCACCCCAGTTTTCATCCTCTGCGGGCAATGCAGGAAAGCTTGAAGGAGACTCAGCCACAGATGGAGGGACAAGCCATGTATTTGTTCGGAATCCATAAGGAAGATTTCCAAACTGAAGAAACATGCTGTTAGAGAAAGATGTTTCTAAAAGAAAGGCAAATAATGATCATTTTCATTAATTTGATGAAAGTGTACCTTATTACGTTCCAAAAAGGCTTTCATCAACGATTCATATGCCTACATTTATCAATCATTTGTAAGAATGCTAGTTACAACATCAAACTGCCTGAAGAAAAATCAAATTCTAATATCTATTTTTCTGATATCTTCACATGAAAGATATCTAAAAGCACAAAATATGGACAATTAGATAGAGTCTGTAGCCATTTATGTATCATAGAATAAGTTAAGAACCTAAAAGCGGAAGCAAAGAAGTTGGGATTAAGAACAAAGAGAAACATACATTAGCAAAGGCTCGGCTGAGCTGTTGGAGAAGATCAACCAAGGTGTGGCTGTGCAGAGATTGCTTCCCCACAGTGTAAAACCCTTTCTCTGAAACAACCACTTCTATTACCTTCCCATTGCATATTTTAACCTTCATTCACGCACCAACAACATTTTCTCACGTCAGATACACATAACATGCAACATGCATCAGTAACAAAGAAAAAAACCAAAACCTGAAGCTGAAAGTAATCCCCTTTGCGCCTATCATCTTCATCCTTCACTTCACATCTCTTCAATTCTGCAAAACCCAAAAAAAAAAAACGTTTTTTATTACATTATTGTTAAGCTTGTGACTTTCCCATGAGCTTGTTCAACAGAACCATAATGAAAGTGAGGAGGAAGAGGTACCCACGTAAAATGGGGGGAGAGAGGTGAGACAACGAGAAGAACTCGTAGAAGTCTGAGAGCTTCGGCGTCGGGTGAATGGCCTTCATTCCCACATTGTCGGAGATCGCCGACGGTGGCGCCTCCGACGACGGTGACCCGACCCTGGATTCCCCATTCGGTGTCTCGGGTGGGCTCAAACTCGTCTTGTTCTGATGTTGGGCCTTCCCGTTTTTCTTGGGTCTCGATTCTGGGCTTGGTAAACTCCGTTTGGGCCTACCGAACCTTGTTGTGCAGGCCACAATGTCCAAGACCCTCCGCACGTGCGCAACTGCTTGGGCCTCCTCTGTGTAATCCTCTAATGGCACAAACAAAAAAAAGTGAATAATAAATAAGTTTAAATAATCATTTTACAGTGATTCTAGTATTTTATTAAAAACTGACTACAAAGACTAAGACATTATTATTTAAATATGAAAATGGAAACAAAAAGTTATCTCTTTAAATGATTAATTAAATATAATAAATAAATAAATCTCATTTTCTAAGAATAAAAATCATTAAAACAAATAGTCTAAATAATTATTTAACTTTTATATTTACGCAAAAGAGAAATCGTTTAAGCTTTTATATTTAAAAATTCCATGCTATAAAATAACGCGAAAAATCACACCAGTGAGTCCGTGACACTGATATTTTGAGAGAGAAAATAAAATAAACAGTCGGCAAAATACATGATTATTTTTAATCAGTGTATAATCATTTTAAATCATAATTAATTAAGGGTAATTCTAAGTGAAAAATGCAATAATAATTTTTCAATGAACTTAGATTTTTAAAATATAGAAAAAGGGGCGTACAGAAAACGTTAGTTTTAAAAATTGAATTTCTCTTTTTAATTTTCTCTTATATTTATAAAAAGAAAAAATAGTATGATTTTGGTATATATTAAATTCCAACACGAAGCTATTATGAGATGGCGATGGCGAAGGAAAAGTAGGGTTTGGTTTTCCACCGAAATGCAACTTGAATAAATGACAACAACAATAACCATTAACGTGTATCACACAAAAATAGATTTCACTCTTATGAAAATGACAACAAAATACTTTTCAAATGCTAATAAGAGTATAGATTTTTTAAAAATATTTCAAAATAAAAAATAAAGTTGGAAACTTTTTCACTTGCTCCTACATGATATAGTAATTTTCCAATAAAGGGCACATTTAAAAAATAGTACATTTGAGCATTTAAAACCGCTATTTCTTTTTTGAAATAGATGGAGCCCACAAGAAATGATTCCATTATTTGTCGTAAACTACAATGTTTTAAGAAATATTAATAGATGTTGTATTCTAAGGAGCAATGTCTCCTCTAATATGTTATCTCCACATGTACACGTATCTTGGCCAAATAGGAGATGCAAAAAACTAAGTATCTAAAGGAAAATAAAACAATTTTTCATTATAGAACCCTATATATATGAAATAATAAAAAAAAAAAAGAAGCTAATGTCATGAGATTTATGGAGCTAAAAATCTTTATAAACACCATTGTAATAAGCTATTCAAACAAGGACTTTTGACATTAGTGTACATTCAAACGTTGAACAAAGACTTTAACATTAAAATACAAGAAGTTTAATGTAACAAGAGTATGATCTTATTTACCATTTAAAATATCTTACCAAACTATTTGAAAAAAAAAAACTTGAACACGAATTTATGTTTTCTACTATTTGGGTATTGTGTTTTTCAAAAATAATGAAGGACGCCTATTTTAAATGTTTTAAAATATATTAAAAACTTTTTTATTACCTTAATATTAATATATTTTAGATATTTTGGAGACTCAATAATAAAAAATATTATAAAAAAAATAATATTTTAACACACATAAATTTTTATATTCATTTCACACTGTTTTTGTTTATTTTTTAAAAATATAATACAAAAATGTACTTTTTTATAATATTTTATTTTAATATCATATGTCAAATAAATATAAATGTGCTTTACCATATCATTACTATTAAAGAAAAACCAATAAACTC